CGCCACGATATGCCCCCGAGCCCACCTTTCTCAGCCCTTCCCCTCTCACCAGAATTGCCCTCATGAGGTTGGTGGAAGGGGGCTTTTGACTGCCCCTCTCAAGCACCTTGGAGACCAGCGATGGGCACCTGGGAGCAGCCCCCCATTGCCTTTCCAGGCTCGGAGCACGTGAGCGGGAGCCGACGGGTGGAGCGTGTCGGGGACAGCCCAGCCGTATACCACTGCTGCTGCAACGTCCCCGGGCCCCAGAGAACCGTCCTGCAAAAAGTCTGGGGGACGAGGAGGGGAGAAGCGCTCCCCGTGCACCTTGCCTTCCTTGCTCACGATTCAGCCCGACACCGTGCCCGCTCTCCCGCCAGCGAGGCAGCTGTTGGATCCAGTTGCCAGACTCCAAATGGATGGCTTCTGTCGGTGCCAAATGTTGCCTCAAACACAAAGCTTTCTGCCAGCGGTTTCACTGGGTGTCATCACAAGGATGCCTGCACGTGCCGTCCAATTTTTCTCTCTTCCTCCTGATGAGCCCAGGCCAGAGACGCTGCCCTGAAACGTTGATGAGTCCATACGCGACACGGGAGGCAGAGGTGCTCGACAGCGTCTGAGCTGGATTAATCTGAGCCACGGAGCAGAGGTGTGCATCCGAATGTGCGGTGTGCCGCAGGTCTGGTGCAACCTGTTCTTTGGTTGAAAGTTGCAAACATATACGCACGCACATCAACGTTTAGAAATGCTTGAGTCTACAGGTCTGTCCGCTCCTGATCCAGCTATCCACACGTCTGATAACGGTGTCATCCCCATTGCAACTCAAAGTGAAATGAAAAAACCTTGCCTGCTGAGAAAAAGAGATCTTAAAGGTTATATGCTTAAAACAAACACATTCTTCCCCTTCATTTATATCATTTTCAGTCGCATTGTGCGACACGTCTTCTGTTAAATTGCATACAAAATGCAAATGGAGTGAAATGTTATGATTTCTTTGTACGAGTGAGTGGCTTTGTATCTCAGGTAGATGATTTTCAAATGTTCGCATGGACCCTACTGAGAATTAATTGTTTTTTGTCACTAGGCTGTATGTGATGGCCATTTGTATGAAGACCTAGTCGTTTGCTATAAGCAGCCGCTGAATCTCAGGAGTCGGAAGAGTGACATTTTTAATATCACAGAATAAATTTGGAGACGTTGCGCTCTCCCGAGTGGATGGACTTGCCCTCACAGCCTCAAGCACAGGTTTGGACTCCTGCGCTCCAGGCTAATGATGAGTAAAAGGATTAACTACCAGGAAACTAAGCCGATCGTCTCATCATTAGGAGTTTAAGCAGATACTGGCTGTGTTGGAAACTACTCTCTTCCCTTTCCTGCTCGGAGGCAGGCAGTGGAGGAGGAGGAGGAGGGGAGAAATGGGGGGAAGGAGTGGGATGGGGGCTTCTTGGAGCAGGAAGGGGAAGGGAGAGAGGATTTTCACCTGCTTTAGGAACTCTAGGAAGTCCCTGGGGGCTCCCGTGTGTGGTCCAGTCCGAAAGGGGGGTGCAACCATGCCGCTGCACCCCATCGGGATCCACCCCAGGTGAGAGCCAGGTACAAGCAAAGGGGTGCGCACAGCAAGTTCAAAATGATGCTGCAGAGTCGGCGGGCATTGCATGCTCCTCTTTATGCAACAGCATCGGCACCCAGAGCCCCCTGCACCCCGGCACGTAGGACAGGGCCTCCAGGCCATGCGGACAGCCGGCGGGGCAGCTCCATGCCACAGGTTTCCTGCTTGGGGTCTGCCTGGCAGAGAGCGAGGGGCCAGCCCACGGCACGCAGCTCTTTCTTCACGTACCTCGTGAGCCAAGGCGGACGCATGGATCCGTCTGTCCGGTACACGGTCAGCTGGCCACGGGGTCCTCCGCTGCGTACGGTCATCTGGAAATGTTTCTCTCTTCTCTTCTTATGCTCGTCCATGTGAGAAAGTCCTCTCCAAGCAAGGGATTAACTGGGACTGATGATGTTTTAGCCTGGGCTGCACCGATCTACCCTGGAGAAGACCAAAATCTCTTTCCTGAAACGTCTGCTGCAGACAGTTGTGAGACCAACCTCCTGACCCTCCCGGTGCTGACAACAAGAGCACAGAATTGGTATTAGCACCAGCAATGTGGTAGAGATCCAGCAAATTGATAAAGATCCAGCAAATATGAGCTGCTCTTGGCTAAAGCTTCGCACGTGTTTGCCGGTCGGTAGCTGTTTCCAAATGTGGACTGGATCAGGAGGCTTTACCATTTGCTCTCGCCTCTCACCTACAGGTTTGGTCACGAGCCAACTGCATTTGTTTGATTCCACGTGGTGCAGACACCATTTGCACTGAAGATGCTGCAGCCGGGAAGGGTCTCCGAGAGCTCGCTCCTCAGGGCTGATTATCCACTTCTTCCTAATCGTTAGGAAGTGCGGCCAGCCGATCGGATGCAGCTTGCATATCCTGCTGCCGTCCATTATGTTGTGCCGCCAAGGTGGAGGCTCAGCAAAGGGCTCAGGCTCCCTTGTGACACTGTGACTTGTCACACATATAGCAAACGCTAGGAGGGAAGTGTGGGCATCTGATTCATGGAGCAGTATCCAAGCCCGAGCTCATCAGCGCCGCTCAGGTGATGTGTGTCCAAACTGGCGGTGGGAAACAAGCCTGTAATGACCTGCTTGACTGAAAATGGTGGTTTCCAAAAAGAGGGATTTCTACAAAGTTTGTGCCTGCTGGCTGGGCAGCAACATGCTATATGAGCTGATCTGGTGTCAGCAAGGTCGGGAGCAGGCTGGGTCCTGCATCTCCTGAGTTCAGGAAGGTGCTTAAGCATACACCAGCTATCTGAGTTGGTCCAATAGAAGATATCAGATTTACCCAAAGGACCTTGTCTGTCTAAGCATGCACCTGACCTTGAGCATACGAGTAGTTTCATTTGTATCAGTGAGATTTGGCATGTGCCTAAGCGTGTTCCTGAAGTGGAGCTTTCCATTCAGCCGTCTCCTCAGCCATGCTCTCCATCCATTTTCATGTGTGTAAAGTGGGGCAAACCTGCCTCCCTCCGTCTCTGAGTGCTAAGTGTTTCTGATCTCCACTGTGCCAGTTTTTAATTTTCTAATTTGGTTCATGGCGGGCATGTCTACATGTGCACTTATACTGGCTTAAATTTACTGCGCAGTAAGTGGAAATAGGCCCACCTCTACACATGCAGGCATTAAAGTACATTAATGTTGTGTGTGGACTGACTTGGAACTAACCTTAGTCCCAAGTCAGTCCACGCACACAGTGTTACGGCGCCGTAAGTTGTCTACACATGCATTACTGCACAATAACTAATCAGGCGTAAATTTGATACCTGCATGATGCAGTTATCAAATTTACACCCAACTTGGTGTAAGTCACCATATTGACTGTGCAGTACTGGCACGCATGTGTAGATACATGCCCATACTGTGCAGTAATTTTGGTTATTGCGCAGTAAATGTGCATGTGTTTCAGATTTTCTGTGTAAGGCAACTCAGGGTCTCTGGTGACCAGTTTTGGAAAGGTTTCAGCAAAACTTGGTCTAATGGTTCACGTTTTCCATTAAAGATGAGAATATTGTTCTTCATAAAATGTTAATTCTCTAGAAACTGCTAGTTTTAATCCACAGCAAACGCCTTAGAAAGCCATGTTCGAAATGAGGAACAACTAACTGTTGGTGGAGGAGTGCCTTGTTATTTAAATGTTAAGAAGCATCTCACATGTACAGCTGCTATAGATACTATCGATTACATTATTTTGATAAGCAAGATGGGAGCACAGAGGTTGGCAAGATGTTTTATTGATCTGGTGCAAGCCAGTCTGGGCATTAACATATGGAGGGTATCGTTCAAAAGTCAATTTTTCTCCCAGCCTTGATTTAAATACTGATGCCCCCTGAGACTCTTCCTGGGTCAGTTTTATTCTCACTCTGCACTTCACTACAGCATAAACTGCTAAATAAATATAGACACCACACTATTAGCTATGTGCCAACACTAGTCAAATGACCCTATCTACTCTATTCAGTTTGCTGATACTTGTTTTTGTAAATAATAATGCCTAGCACTTTACAGCTTTTAAGCCCTTTGTAAACTTCAGCTAATCAATCACGGCAGCCGCTCTGTAAGGCAGGCAAGTATTATTCAGTTATTAAAGCCAGCCACATCGGGGAGTGACTGCAAAGCAAAATTCAGCGCTAACGGTACCATGGTGCTAAATGCCAGATTGCTTGCGAGAAAGCGACATGACATCTTTTCAAGGGAGAATCTGAAGCAAGTAAGATTCCTTCTGGGAAAGGCTACCCAGTTGTCTGGAGCCAAGTGACTGGAGCGGTGTGATATACAGCCCTTCAGGTTTGGGGGAGATATGAAAAATATGCAAACAGATTAGACAGGTTGCACAGAAGCATCTAATTTTAGGTGCAGCAGTTCATGATCTGGACACGGTGTCTCGCCCAATGCGCGTGCAAGTGATGGATGGGAAATGCAGAACATACGTTCTCTGCCTGAGACCTGGTTGGATGTCTGGAGCCACGGACCATATGGATGGAAATGCAGAAGGTGGCTCCCAGCCAAGCATGCACACACACACACACACACACACACA